GTTTCTGGTGCCACAAAAAGATTTAAATCATATCTAATTGAGTTTTAATTACAAAGTATAGAGTAGCAAAGTCCTACATGAAAAAAATTTGCATCAGTGATGTATTCAATGTTTTTTTAAAAATTCATAGGTCTATATAAACCCTTGCTTTAATTTCAAAGAAATAATTCCAAGACAAATTGCTTAGGAACCTAGTGCCTTTTCTTTCCATGTGTCTAATTTGGTAAATCTCTTGCTACGATAATACCAGGTCTGATTATTTTTTTCCCCTAGGAGAGAGAGCATTGATTAAATGACTAAGGAAATTGTTTTTATCGAGAAATGGAGACTCTGATCTTAGTTATTGCTCAATTAACTTTAAAGTTCAATACATTTTTTATTGAACCCACACATCCTTTAATGTGAATTGCTTTTTACTAATCTGTAGGAATCACAATGACAGTTTTGGTCACCTTTTAGGCTTCTTTTATTCTCACTCAGAAAGTTCCTAAATTTCATTCATAGTCATTAAATCAAGAATGATTTCTGGAATCAAGATAAAGTCAAGAGAGATGTAAAGTTCTGGTTTGATCTCCTCCCGTGATGTGTGAAATGTCACCACGTTCACTCCTAGGTTTCTGTATCCCAGGACACCACCCCAGCTGGGCTTTATTCAAACCATGGAGCCATTCATTGATATTAATTCCTTCATTCAACAGAAGCACATGTTTTTACATTTTAGTGTTTCTGAAATTGGGGTAGATTTTGTTACAACATCGTCTATGGAATAGCAGCCTCCAAATGGCGGCCGCCAGGTGCTGGCCGTGATGCGGCTGCTGTTGCCTGTGTGCACAGGCTCAGGATTTCCTGACTTCAGTTGAAGCCCTGTGCAATGTTGGTACTTCATGTCTTGTGTTTGACTACATTTTACTTAATTGCAATTCTTCAGTGTTTCAGTCAAGAAATGTTTTAGCACCGTTTGAAAGAGAAACACGTGACCTTGTCTAAAAACCTACTGTGTACACCTTCTGGTAGATAAAGTTTGCACCAACAAGCATAGACAACTTGCAGGACAGTTATCAGTAGTTCAGAAGAAAATCTTAGAGTCACAGCAGTACACTCTCTTATGAAGAAATGTGTACCACTAACACTCTTGATGGCAAATCAAATGATATTTTGTAAAACAAAACAAAAAAAACCCCAAGGGCATTGATAACTCTGGGTTAGTACAGAAAAGTTGGCGTTCAAATGTGAGAATCGTTTGGAAATTTCTTAACTTAGACCTTATAGCTTATATAACAATCCATATGTATTATGTATAATTATATTTGTATGCTTTTGTATCATATTTAAGAACTTTCTGCATTATCTTTCCTCTTAACCACTTGATTATGCATTAGAGAAAAGATTCTTTCTCTTTGCATCCCTGACCAACAAAGGTTTAGGAATAAGTTAAGCCTACCTATGACGTCACAGACTCCTTAATTGTATGACACATAACATTTGCTTCCACTAACCACCTTTTCATAATAACTATAGAAATATTATTTCACATTTCTAATTGTTAAAAATTAGTAACCAGGTTTTTCCCAGGTTTCTAAATGGAAACAATATTATCAAAGTTAGTGAGACACATATTTTAAGCACCCATTTTGTACTAGTAAGCATCAGGCTGAATATGGGTGTTTGTTTTGAAAAATAATTCATACAGAAGATCAGGGGCTTACCTAAATTTTGGCCATGTAGGCATTTGAACTTATCTTGATTTTTGCTTACAATATTTATGAGGTAATATGAAGTAAAAATAGCAAGTCAGCAGTTAAATAAAGGAGTTGTCTTTCACAGGATAAAATTGTACATAATCATGAATCTTATCACTTTCTCTGAAGGTCTGTTATTTTTTCTGATTTTCTTGAGAAAATATGCTTGCATGGCAAATTGGTTGTTTTTACCTTTAAAATGCAAAGTTATGATTCTTATGGTAAAAGACCAATTGCTCCAAGCTGATGTGAGACTATGAATACATCTCCCAGGCGCCATGCTGTGCTGAGGACGATTACCACAGAGAGTTTCCTGGTCCTTGTTCTCCTTCTGCCCCACACTAGGTGAGTGCTCCTGGAGACTTATGACATATAATTCTAATTACAGGGGTGACTGAAGGATGCTTCTCCAGAATAAATGATGTAGATCCATTCCTACTGTTCATGTCTACATTTCAGGTTTACAGTAGAATTTAACAATGCATTTGAAAAAGTGTCAGTGAAAAAAGTATTTTGATATATCTAATTGTATTATTTTCACCTGTAGTATTTGTACTAATACTACTATTAGTACATATAGTAGTATAAATAAATGGCTAAAATTTCTACCAAATGACGTGCCTTGGTCAATGAGCTAATAAAAGCTAGAAAGTGTTGGCCTTTGGCTTTGGTTTGCTAGGATGACTGGCCATGCCTTACCTGCCAATCGGCCCTCTAAATTGTCCCCAATCTCATCACCAGTGACCCCATCAGTACAGACCCAGGGAACAAAATGTCCCACTTTTATTTCTCTAGATAAAGTATGGACAAGACCTTCCCCCACTGGCTCCTTTTAACAAGAGCGAAATCATCCGGAATTTACAAAATAAATGCACAAAATTATGGACAATTTCTCAGTCAGTTTCTTCAGTCACTAAAGAGCAAATGACACCCAAAATTTAGAGAAGGAAAAAAACACAAATGAACTGTGTCCAAAGGACAGAACTCTAATCTCAAAGACAAACCAACAGAGGGGAAAAAATGATACCAAATTCCTCTATCAAATAGAAAGATCTTAAACTAATGTGGACAGGTATAAATGGAGTGAAAATTCTGAATAACCATTCTTCATGAAAGAAAATGACTTGTTATTTAAAATTTTGAGTGGCAGTCTATTGAAATGTCGTAACAGACAAAATAGTTAAATTGTTTTCCATAGAAACAGGAAGATAGGCATATCTAGAAGGATCCAAGGGAGGGGATTCTAGAGGTAGTGCTGGTAAATGATACAAAAACAAAACCCCAACCCCAACAAAACCTCAACATCCAATTCATATATAGGTATATATGAATTTACACATATATATGAATTTACACATATATATGAATTTACACATATATGTAAAACTAACTGATATGGTTTGACTCTGTCCCCACCCAAATCTCATCTTGAATTGTAGCTCCCAAAATTCCCTCACGTTGTTGGAGTGACCCAGTGGGAGAGAATTGAATCATGGGGGCAGTTCCCCCCATCCTGTTCTCGTGGTAGTGAACAAGTCTCACGAGATCTGATGGTTTTATCAGCGGAAACCCCTTTGGCTTGGCTCTCATTCTCTTGTCTGCTCTCATGTAGAGGTACCTTTCTCCTTCTGCCATGACTGTGAGGCGTCCTCAGTCACGTGGGACTGTGAGTCTATTAAACTTCTTTCTTTTGTGAATTGCCCAGTCTTTATCAGCAGTGTGAAAATGGACTAATACACTAACTTTTAAAGCCAGTAAAAACATAAGGTGCATCGGGCCGGGTGCGGTGGCTCAAGCCTGTAAATCCCAGCACTTTGGGAGGCCGAGGCGGGTGGATCATGAGCTCAGGAGATCAAGACCATCCTGGCTAACACAGTGAAACCCCGTCTCTATTAAAACACGAAAAATTAGCCGGGTGTGGTGGGTGGGCACCTGTAGTCCCAGCTACTCGGGAGGCTGAGGCAGGAGAATGGTGGGAACCCGGGAGGTGGAGCTTGCAGTGAGCTGAGATCTGGCCACTGCACTCCAGCCTGGGCGACAGAGCGAGACTATGTCTCAAAAAAAAAAAAAAAAAAAAATGCATCGTAGATTTTAGGTCAGAGAATCTCTAAAACATGTCAACTCATTTTCATAGTCATAATTTTTAAAATAATAAACATCTTAATTCATTTTCTTATTAGAATTTATATTTCCCAATGGCTGTCAGAATGTGATTACACTATTACACTCTCAATATCTAGGTAGACAGAAATAGTTGAACAAGCTCATATGTACTAAGTCAACACAGGATCTAATGCTTTTCAGAGAAATCAGTGTGGTAGAGACTTTAATATTACCTTAGTGCAAAAGGGCCCCAGACTGGTAAAATTACTCCAGCTCAGGTTTTTTTTTTTTTTTTTTTCTCCTTAAAATTTTGAGACCTGGGACCTACCCTAGCTGGCTAGATAGATGATATTAGAATGTGACCTTGAGTAAATATTTAGTAGTTTTATAAGAAGAAAGTTATAAACTTAAAAATATTATATCAAATGCAATGAAACCTCACTATAATTGCCTTATAAGACCATGAATTCATTTTAAGAATGTGATAAATCATGTCCCCTGGGTGAAGACGGAAGCATTAAACATCTCCTCCTCATATAGAATCCCCAAACCTAAGTCTTATCTTGGATGTGTGACAATATCACAATGGAGTCACAGCATAAAGACAGTGATTTGGTTGGTTGTATTTTATGTCTAAATCCGTGTTTATTAATGATTGTGAAGCAAGGATTCATTTCAGACGCTTATGGATTTCAACCACATGCTGTGATCAAGAAAGCAGCATATTTGCCTAAAAGCAATATTTAAATAATTTTATTTAAAACTTTAAAAAATATTGTTTGCTTATTGAAAAACACAAAAACAAGGCAAGCAAGGACATGCTACATTTAATTTTATGGAGATCCTTTTGAATACAGGCACACCAAAAATAGAGTATTGTAATAATCTTGCAAAAGATAATTACATTATTAAAATAATTACAAAACCAGTTTGAGTTTGATGGGTAGTGTAAGAGACTGAAATTATTTTGAATGGGGTAATTAGCCTGCCAAAAAATTAAAAGAATTGTATTCATGTTAAGAATCTGAAGAAATTATGTATTTGCTAACTTTTACCCTGAACGAAAACAGTGCTCACTGAGGGCAATGATGGACAGAACTTACTTTCAGGACTCTGTTATACAACTTCCCGCACTTGGTTGCTGCATTTAGATCTTACCTTCCTGACTCAAATGTGAACCACGTTGAGTCCCGACCATATCTCCTCAGTGAGCTGAGAGGCCACATCACCAGTTTGACCTTGGCATTGTGGATATCCCAGAGATAGATATTTTCATGAGTGATCTGCATTGTGCATTCACCATAAATATCCAGATTTGGCGTAGGCATAAGATACACATTGAATCGCTCTGTGAAGAAATGAAGAATGGAGAAGATTAAGTGAAAAGAGGTGTGACTGTCTATGGCCGTATGATATTAATTTATCTACAGACTGCAGGAAACATTACCACGTCCCTTGGTTGATATGGGTAAACACTGTAGAACATATTTCCAAATTTGAGACAAGGAGGAGTTCATTAAAGTCTTCTGAATCATTAATTCACTCAGTTAACTTTTCATGGCATGTATTGTCTATGGTGAGGATTAAGTAGTTAAATTATACAATGGAAAAATAAGGGCAAAACTTAAGGGAATCTCTACCCAAATTGTGCTTATAGTCTGCTCCTTCACACAATCTAAGTGGTTATCACAGATACAATTCCAGTGAGGAATATCTTATTTGCTCGACTTAGGCAAGATCTTACTGGAGTTTTACCTTTGTTGACGTGAAGTATTTAATGCACACTCAGACTGACTCACTACTTAAGCACTGCAAAAATAATTTAGTTTGAATCTCAAAACAAATTGTAGTCATGGTCAAATTTAGCATATGATAATTGCAGATATTCATTACAGTCTTCCGCAGAACTTAAGACATTGCTTTGGTAAGCAAAATAAAAATACTTAACTTTTTTTCATTCCTGGATATCCTATGGTCAAAAATATGATTATTAGGCAATCATTCCAAACCTTACTTTGTAACTGTGTATTTCAAAGGCTATTGCAAAGTTATGCTGCCTTTGATTCCCATTTAAATGCATTAGATTTTATTTTGAAAAATTAGTTTGTAAGTTCTAGGAAGTAAAAAACTTGGTATGCCTTACAACATACTCTATAAAGCATCCCTACTTCTTAGCACCATATCCTTGGTTTACAGTAAGTGTCCAATAAATATTTGTTAACTGTATGAATGAAGTACATCTATGCCATGATAAATTAGGAGATGCAAGAATTGAATTACAAAAAAAAGTCATGATAACAAAAAGTTTAAGAATTACTGGAAGATGTACCTCTGTGGGTTAGGACTTAATTGTGAATAGTGCTTTAAAGTCAGTGCTGTTGAATTATTCTGAGAGATGAAATACTACAGCTGCAGCTAGAAAATGATTGATATGTTTAGGAATGTACTATTCATAATATAATCTTAAATGCTATATGTTTGCTGGTACTGAGCTGAGATTGTATAATAGATTTCTTTCTATTTTACTTAGATATTTCACTTAGTAAGAATTCTCTGCCAAAAAACAATATTCGGATTCCAAATTAACATAAGCATGATAGCTTAACATTTACTAGCCATAAAGACAATATTTATACTCATGTGTCTTGATATTTTGGACAATAGCTTATCTAATAATTCAGTCTTTTAGATTATTGACCCATGAAACTAGTATGTGTATGGATTTCACATTCATTTCCTAAGAAATGACAAATTGCAATCAATTATATGGCTGAAAGCTGAAGAAAGAACATTGCCTCATTAATTATCTGCAATGAAAAGCCCAAATATATACATATTCCCAATAGCTTAAAATTCTTAGGTGCAACTAACTAAAGTATTAACATTTAGCATTAAACACATCACTCACATTCCCATCATAATTCCCACTCCAATGGGATTAGTAGTAAATCAAAGGGGCATGATCTCATATAAAACTATAAATGAAACTTGTACCCAAAGGGTTTACACAGGAATATAGACAATGCCTGAACATCAATCTTTGGCCAGGAACCTTTTGATAAAGTTCAGCTCCTACATGTGGAATTAATCATATGTCAGTGGCACCTGTTATGCATAGAGAAAATATTGTTACAGAAATGGAAAGCAAAACATTTCTTTACATTCTCCTTTCCATCAATTCCAGAGTCTGAATTAGCAACCAAAAAAAATCATTGCAAAAATGCCAATAAGTAACATTTCTTCCAAAATATTGAAGTAAACATTAACGAGTATTATTGTTGCTTATGGCTGTATTGACCCTTGATATTCATGCCCACAGTTTGATAGTTAAAAACATAGAATGTTAAAAAAAAAAAAAAAAAAAAAAAACCTTGACATTGAGTGTCCTTCAAGTGGATGGTACATGAAACATGACCTGTAACAGTGGACCCAGAAGGACCATTACATTTTCACTGAAATGCTTGGGTGCTCAAATGTTAGCAGATAAAGCCTAGGAAAAATGAGCAAGGAGAGAGTACAAGCATCACACCGGACACTGGAGAAAGCTGAAAAAAAGTGAATTTAATAAGATTCACATGATATAGCGCTCTATGTACCTCTATCTCTGTCTCCGTCTCCATCTCTGTTTATCATCAAGGCCCATTTTAAAAAAACTAATTGGACAACTTGCCCTAAGGGAGTTTTTCCAGGGCCATCTCTAGTCAATACAAGCAGGTGAAATTTACCCGTGGTGTCCCTACCCTCTTGCCTGCCTTCTGCTTTCCCTGTCCTCATATACTTTTCAACCCAGCAACTCAAGTCAGCCCTTCTTGTTATGGTTTAGAACCCTCCAGTCTTCCTTTGGATGCTATTTCTTGCAACTTTTGAAAGAAATTATACTAAGATATATTTTCAATTTTCAAGTATTCAAAAATCTATTTTCTCCTAAAGCCTAATTTCTAAGAATTTCAGATTCAATTAAAAAGTGAACAAATTTAATCCAGCAGAAAAACTAGGCACATAAAGATGAAGGCGGCACATTATGTTACCTAACTATACTTACCTGAATTCCATTATAATGAGGAAGGAAGCTTTCTGCCTTGACAATGAAATACATCATTGTATTCTCTTATTAGCATAATATAGTTATTTTACTGAAACATTTGTTAAGGTTTTGCTAGAAAGACCATTTCAAAATGGAGTGGCAAAAATTGGCTCCATTAAAATTATTTAAAAAAAATTTTTATCTTTGTGAAACAATTCTATCAAGCAGGCTTTTTAAATCTCTAATTATGCTGTTTAAGAACCCACGTTTGGTTTTCATTTCGTATACCGTTGATTTTTCAGACTTCAGTGTGCATTAAAATTACCTGGAGGCTTTGTTTAAACAATGCTGGACCCCTTCCAATCTTATCATTTCTGGTACAACAGGGCTGGATTGGAGCCCGATAATTTACATTTTCCATTTATTCCCAAGAGCTGTGGACACTGCTGCTCTGGGCACAACACTTTGAGAACTGTTGATTTGTGAAACTCACTTTAAAATATTGCTATGGAAGTAGCAATATTAGAGAAACCATGAGGAATGACTTTGGAAAATGTTGCCACGTACCAGCAGAACAAAACAGTACTTTTTTTTTTTTTTCCAAAGTGTTATCTATTATCTGCCCAAATAATCCCATCTCAACCGATTCGTATCTGATTTTGTAAGAAAGAGTTCTTACGCTAATTGGAACAAGAGAAGAGACAGGAGCATAGGAAGAAAGGAGATATATGGAAAATGGTTTATAATTTCTCAAGATATGTGTATTCCAACTATTTTCTTATCAGATGATTGACAGCAACACTAAAACATTACTAAAGAAAACTAAACAACCCGTTCCCAAATACCCAAAAGTACTGAAAAGGAAACTAATTGTCCAAATAATATCCTAAAACATAAATATTCTGATAATCTGTGAAGACTGATGAATGTATGAAAAAACAAATTTTTGAAAAGGTTATGTAAAAACAAATATCAAATCAAAATGTGTTCATTCATATAAGATTTTAAATTAGAGTTACAAAGTCCCAAACACATTGCCCGTGAATTTGTATATTAGTAAAATGTAGAGTCCCATGTTAGCTAATATGTGAGAAAGTATAATTTTATTTTAAATGGTTAAAACAAAAAAGGGTAGAATATGTATTAAATATTATAAATATATAATTATACTATAATAAAGTATACAAATAATTTTATTATAATAAATAATATTGCATCCAACAAAGATGCTAGTATTGGATCTGCAATTATGTTTGCAAGGGCATCTTTTTCACTAAAGCTGAATGATGAGGTCCAAAGGAATAGGCCATGCCCAGAGAAGGCCTGAGATACCGGGGTAAGGCTGCAGCTACAACAAGGGTCTAGACGGGGCTGCAAAACAAGGCTTAGATGAATTGAATAGATCAAGGTCTGACAAGACAGGGTGACTGCACTCAGGGAAAAGGAGCAGCGAGGCTGCAGGTGGAGCGAGAGCGGACTGAATTGGGTCATCAGTGCCGAGAAGAACTGAAATCTTCCCTGTCAGCCAGTGAGTTTTTAAATAGATCTATTTTATACAGGAACAAATCCAAGTATAGTTGTGAGTCTGAGACTGGCAGGTGGAGGTAAGTGGAGCTCGCAGTAGCCTTGAGAAGCAAAGGATCAGAGACGGGGGTTTCTGACAAGAAGTAACACACAGAAAACAAACGGGTAACAAGTCCTTCAAACAACCCCTTGATAATTCCCTTTTGTAAGAATACAGATGGAAAACTATGTTTCATGGAGAACCGTACAGGAAAACAGATATATCTGTTCAGCTGAATTTCCCTTATGCTAGGTAGAAATATATAAACAAAAATAGGCTTTTGGAATTTATGTATTAAATAACTGTGCATTTAGCACGTGGTGAACAGTCAGTGCATTGTGACTGCATAGACATAAAATGGATTTTTGTACGTTAGAAGAAATTTGAAAAATGTCTACTGGAAGCCAATAGATTTTTTTTTTCAAAGAAGTTTCAGTTGTTAGCTTGTTGCTGAACACTTTTATCCACTGTATTCTATTTCTTCCTCTTCTCCAGAAGTCATGGGTTTGAAGGTTGGGTCAAGAGAAAACAATGGAACTTGAAGCAAAGTGTTACACCTAAATATTCAGAAACCAAGAGATTCATAAATATTAACTCATTAGGTTTTCGAGAGAGGAGTTAAATCTAACATTATCTTCAGCTAAGTGAGTAAATGTGAACTCCTTATACTTTTACCTTCTTTTCCTGTTAAAAGCCAAAAATGGCTCAAAAGAAGAAACTGTACAAAAGGAAAGGCATTCTTGATTTAGATCGTTGGTGA